ACGATTAACGTTAACTTGCGTTAAATCTTGCGAAATGTAACGTTTTAACGTTTAACGAAGTTAATTTTTTTATTAACGGTTTAACGATTAACGAAGTTAACTATTTGATTAACGGTGCCCAGCTATGGAGGTCAGTGGTATCAATGTTCAATAAATCGATTGTATGGATGTTCAATGTTATGTGCGCTCTTTTCATCGATTTTAACATGTTTCTTTTCTTTTCCAGGATTTATACGATGACGCCGACCTAGACGATTAGCATTAATTGTATTAAGTGTATTTAATTTTCTATTCTGTTATTAGAATTATGTATTTCCAGAAGTGCTAGTTATGGTGGTAAACTTCTTAACAACGGCGCCAAAGCAAATTTAATGAGATTTTATACAATAAATGACATTTTACAGACAATTATCCAACAGAACCTGATTAAATTTACTTTTGTGGCGTGACTGAGAAGTGTAACACTAATTATGTGTAAAATTAAAGTATTATACATATTTTGTCTAACTTACTGTTCAATAGTGAAGAATTGTACAAACTTATTGTTCCTTTAAAAGTATCGTTAAATTGAACCGGTGCCTAATGTCAATAATAGTTTATGCCATCTTATCGGCTGTAGATGAAGTGTATTGTCTTGATATAGATACAATCAGATCTTCTCACTCTAAGCGTCAAATCCTTTTGAGTACTAACAATCATCGTATTTTGATTAGACTCATTTTCGCCTGTGCGTAGATAACCATTATTTGGAAATCGTGCCATCTGCACTGGTCTTTAATCTTTATCTAAGCATGGGGAAAAATACATTTGTATAAAAAGGCCAAAAGAGCGAGATTGCTGATAAAATTATTTGTATTCTGTCTAGCTTTGTATAGTATTATACTTAACAGAATTGCCATTCCAAATCGAATACGACGGAACGTTTGAATAGTACACGAGTTTTTAGCCGAGTGTATATTTTATTTGTATTATAAATAAGTGTATAAAATTGTTCTTACTCACTTGCCGATCTTTTATGTGCAGTGTCACACAAGTCGTTTGATCGTATGTTAAATATATATAAATGTTTATAATAATTTATGCATGTATAATCATGCATAAATCGCCTTAGAGAAATGTTGTTTTCTATTTATTTTTAACGACATTTTTATGGCATTTTTAACATAATTATGGTGATCTATGCATGATTATTGTTTTTTGACTACTCATAATAAATTAGTTTAGGTTAAAATAGTAGAAATTACCGATCCATCACTCGAGCCCGCTGTAGCACCTCCATAACTATTCCTGATCGTATTTAGAATTTATATTAAATTTCTAGTGAATAAACAAGACAGTTAATAAGTTATTGAAATATATGGAATTTGAAATCGAATAGTCTTTTATGTACATACAATATACACCCGCAATTCATATTAGATATGCTTTAATCACATTACATTATATAGCCTGACCAGGAACTTAAAAACCCTGGCATAGAGGCGCGTCAATTGCATTTGATAGTGCAACACTGAGTACAGTCGTACCTGTGTAAAATTAATAGGCTAACTTTATGTATCAGGATTCAGGATTACGTCCTAATTAATTGATATTTTCATAAATTAACGAATAAAGATTATATAGGTATAGCCTGACCAGGAACATAAAAACCCTGGCATAGAGGCGCTTCAATTGCATTTGATAGTGCAACACTGAGTACAGTCGTACCTGTGTTAAATTAATAGGCTAACTTTATGTATCAGGATTCAGGATTACGGGCTAATTTGATATTTTCATAAATTAACGAAAAAATATTATTATAGGTAACCTGATTTAAATAAATTAAATGAAACCATCAATCGAGCTAGTAGATTTATTTTATTATTCATCAATAAACAAATTCAGAACTTGAATATTCAACTGCAATGTCTGCTCATGAACGCTTCAAACTCGGTACTTCTTTCCCAATCCCATAAAATTCAACACTTAGAAAGTGACAAAATTTTTAAAATAGGTAGTTGAAACAAACCACAGCTAATTTTCATAGTGGACTGTACTATACGATAAACATGTCAGTCAATTTGACAACCTTTGTCGGAAACATTATTCAATGAAAATATTGTCCGAACCCTTAGTATTTCTCTTCGACAAATACTTTAACACATTGTGAACCACTTTTCTTTCACGACTGTAAAAAGATTTTAGCAATTTAATTCACAAAATCAATTGCGCACATTTAAAATAAAGTTTGTTTACACTTTGACAGCAATAGACTGACATGCAAGGTGACATGTCAATGAAGTTTTCAGTTACTGTTGCCATTAAAAGAAATTAGTACCATTAGTTTTCCGCAACATGGCGAGGGTTTTTATGTTCCTGGTCAGGCTATAAACACATTCAACATACTTAGTTCAAAATTACTTAGCTAATTAAAATACCTATTTTTGTACTTTATCATCATTAAAGATCTAATTATTTATCTATCTAAACTGGACATTTTGTAGGAATGCTTAGGATGGAATAAATTCTGGGTGAGTACAATGGCCTACTTATCTAGTGACCACAACCTTACAGCATTTTATTTACTAATGGTCGTTCCAAGAGAACTCAGACCCGATTTTCCATGGCTGGTTGTAGACACTATTCCGCAGCTTGAATCCAGTGCACCAGTAGTCTGAAGGCAGCCAGTGACATTCAGGCTTAGGCCTCAGCCTCGAATTTAGCGGGCAGCGGAGCGGGAGCGGCGGCGGCGCGGGAGCGGCGGCGGCGCGGGAGCGGGGCGGGCAACGCAGACCCGTTCACGAAACAAGCGGGCAGCTCGCGCGGCACTTTAGCGGCGAAGTGTTGTGTTCGGGGTTGTGTTGTCGAGATATTTGTTTTTATTCGCAAACGAAATGTCTGAACAACGGCGATAATTTTATTTCGATTCAAATTTATTCCTAACGCTCTAAAAGAAGGAGTGCGCTGCCCGCTCGTTGCCCGCTCCCGCGCCGCTGTTTTCGAGAACCGGTCTATAGTTCCAAAATACTGGACTGTCCTGTCGATGACATTGACAGTGGGGCGCCACCGTCAATACCGGATCGCTGGTTCAGATTTTTGCCATGTTGGAATCCATATAGTTGAACGATGGTAGCGCCCCCCTGTCATTGAGTTTGGCGGGACAGTTCAGCGTGGGTCATCTATATTTGATTTTACGCCGCCCCGCTGCCCGCTAAATTCGAGGCTGAGGCCTTACATTTGACAGTCACTTTGCGTCCAGCCAGATATAGATGACCCACGCTGAACTGTCCCACCAAACTCAATGACAGGGGGGCGCTACCNCGCTAAATTCGAGGCTGAGGCCTTACATTTGACAGTCACTTTGCGTCCAGCCAGATATAGATGACCCACGCTGAACTGTCCCACCAAACTCAATGACAGGGGGGCGCTACCATCGTTCAACTATATGGTTTCCAACATGGCAAAAATCTGAACCAGCGATCCGGTATAGACGGTGGCGCCCCACTGTCAATGTCATCGACAGGACAGTCCAGTATTTTGGAACTATAACTCAGTAAGTAAGTAGGTAAGTAAACGGAGAGATTTGGCCTGTATGTTTGATAGTATAATCCAATCGGATAATCGCTGTCTCTGATCAGCTGTCACTGACTGGAAAAATTTCCGTGCTTTTAAGCGATTTTGTGAAAAATATAGGTACCTAGTTGCTAATTAGTATTAGTATTAATCGTAGTGCGCACTCGCTAAAATAATATTTTGTATATCTGAAAGTGTTGTGAATGCTTATACTAAAACGTTTGTTTTTATTTGTATAGAGAACAATAGTGTCTAGACAAACCTAAAAAGGATTTAGGACGCTATTTGGATCAAATATGTAATTGCTCAATAATGAATAATAAATAAATAAAATAAAAATAAATAATTGCTCATAATCTTTTCTTAAAGGTTTTAAACCTTTGTTTGTCACCTGTCATCCGCTTTGCAATGGAGGGAAGTCTAACCTTAATTTCAAACTCCTCCTATGTTCTTCTGATTAATTTCGTTGCGGGTCCAATAACAGTTTAACTTTCCCCGGGACAAACTTGACCTTCATTGGTTGGGTTTTTGTGGCGGTCAAGCTTTAGATCCTGGCTACACAGGAGTTGCAGTGGTGGGAACGAGAGGTGGGAATAGTCCCGTGTCACTGACTGGATTTCCCACACTGGGCGAACGTGCTCATGCGACACGCTTGTCATCCTGCTCACTCTGCTCTTGAGTGAGCAAGATGTGGAGTTTGCCGCGCGAGCCCGTTCGCCCAGTCTGGACGCACCATATCAGTGCACTACTCTGTACCTAATTAACTTAAAAATATCTGTACCTGAATCAGAATTAGGATAGTAGTTACGAACGGATTATACTAGATTCATACTCTAGCTTAGATTCAAGCCTGTGATGGGTTAAATCTTTATTAATTAATGTTTTTTCATTGATTTTCGTTTTCGTTTCATAATACGGGCCTTAGAATCTTCGATTGTTTGTATTAACTACGCACGACTTAGGTAATTGGAGTTCAATTCTCGATAACGCGCTCTACTGATGAATGCAGACAACTTTTACCAAAGTATGTAGTGGAAAAAAAAACAGGTTATAAAATGTAAAACTTCCTTAACCAAAGATCATTTCCATATTATTTTTTTATTTATTCTTTCCCGCATTTTTTTCTCTGTTAGGATCACGTGACTACGATGTTTCTACCCTCAATTAAGTTTTTACCAATATTTGGCACATTGTTATAGGTAGGTTGCAATGCAATCAGTAGATTTAGTAGCCTCAATAGTAAATCGAGAGGAAGTGCATTGGTATACTGTATTATACTCTATTGCAACAATACCTACTTAAATCGTCATTCAACAAATCTATTTATTGGCATAGTAAAAAACTGTACTGGTGCTACAACTCTGTACACACAGGTGTTTACGTGCAAAGGCTCATTCATTTTAAGGTAGGTAGATATTTTTATGATTCTCAGAGTAAAATAAGCCAGTGTTGTGTGCAGTAGCGCGAGTGTGAGACAGACGTGAGTGTGCATGAAGGTGATTTCTTTGGTTTTGACTGCACCAGTCAACTCGCGCGCAGTTTTTCCGCTAACGAAAAACACAGCTTATCTCACCGCGCAGTGGCAGTGGGCAGTAGCGCGCTGTACAGACGCGCACGCGCCGGCCGCCGCGTCAAATACCTCGATAACAGTGTAATATTGTGAGTAATTTTAAATGTTTTCCTAATTTGTTTATGTGTAAGGCTAGTTAAGTTTGTGCTCTCATATGCAATGCGATTTGTGCAGAGTTTATTTAAAAATAGTGTATAATTTCTCAAATAAGTTTATGCGGTTTTTGAACTGGTTTTTATTCATTGTTATTGTTTTATTATAATAATAACTCAGGTTACTTTAACAGTTTTCAATTGTTTTTTTAATGGAAAACTAATTTAAATAAGAATATTTATTTCGCTCAACGCAAGTCGAAACTTGAAAAGTGGGAATACTAGAAACAAACAGGTGCTGAGCAGGTACCACTATAGGTAAGATTATGTTTCGAGACAAGTTATGATCAAGCTTATGCAGTGCTGTCGGTAAATAAAGTACCTACTTAATTATTCGCAAAAAGTAACATAGTAAACCATCAAAATAATAGTAGGTGTTTTGCAAACATCTCTCTACTCCTATGTAGGTTTGTCCAATACTAATATTACACTTTAATGACTGTAGCCTGTAGTTTCGTTATTTTAAATATTTTTTAACATGTGGTACCACCGTCTTTGATCTGCTGAAAACACCGCTAATAACAGAATCTTCCGTTTCGTTAAAATCACGTATTTCCGCTAGAATCCTAGTAAAATAAGGTTACTTAATGTCTGTTTTACTTTAAAATCAAAACCATATTGTTTTACCACTGATTCGTTGCTTGCAGATATCGTGATCTTTTGTTAGATAGGTCTGTAACTGTATTCAAAAACCCAATGTAAGTAAAATCAAATTGATTAAGTATAAACAAGCCAATCAAGATGAGTACCTGTTACATAAAGCTGTATTTTTTTTATATTTATTTACCGCCTTATTACTTCTGGTCATAATTATGATTTACTAACATTTGAAAATCAATTCCAATGCCTATTCAATATACTTATTATGAATGCACCAACAGTAGTGATTAAACTTAAATGAATGTAAACATGTTCAGTCTTTTTTATAGAAAATTAAATTAGTAAAAACGATTTTATTGGAAAACAGTTTCCCTCTTAGCCTAGGCGCAGACCACCGATTTTTTATCGGGCGATAGTTTAGTCGGACAGGTAATCAGTATGGGCATGTATGGAAGTGCGCACATTACACCGATTGATTCTTCATATAAATTATAAATTAGAATTGGGCCCAACTATCGGCCGACTAAAAATCGGTGGTCTGCGCCTAGTACCTATAGCTTAAACAAGAGTAGAGTAAATATTGATAGGGCAAGTTATTCCTCGTAGAGCATAAGGCCCCCCACCACTTAAGCACAACTCCGTCGAAGTCGAAAACCTAGAAGAGTCTTAATGGGCAACCAATGAAGCCATTACAGCAATAAAATCTTTTGTAGGAATTATTTCCGTTTTAAAATCTAATTCTACTGGCCTATAGAGTACTCTCAAAATAATTAAGTCACAGAAATTAATTTAACTATTTGTTAATAAACTAGGTAGGATTAACAATCTTAAAAAATAAAACACTCAATTAAGCCTTATAATTTAATTAGGATACAAAATATTAGCTCTAACATTTCTTTTGTGCTTTCAATGCCTTATCAATGTTTTATGACACACAATACTAAGCCCGTGCCACTACATTGAAGCAACTAAGTAACCATGGTAAGCTTGCAGCACTGCAGTATACGAGGGCTGTTCAAAAAGTATGAGAATGTGATATTTATAGCCATCAAAAAAATCTGAAAAAAATTGAGCAGGTAGCTTAATTCTTCACTAAAAACTGGTAAAAAATTCATATAAGTTCACCATTGCGTTTAAGAATTCAACAACATTTCGACCGAAAACCCAAACAAGTTTAGTTAGGTACCTGATATCTGAAAATTACATTAGCAAATTAGCTGACCCGGCGAACCTCGTACCGTACTCGAACCTCGAACCATAATTTTATTATTTTATACGAACCATAAGTAAAATGTTCTCCTTGGACTGCTGCAAACATTTCAAAACCAAAATCATCTAAATCGGCCCAGCCGTTCTCGAGTTTTAGCGAGACTAACGCAAAGCAATTACTTTTCAACCGACTTCAGAAAAGGAGGAGGTTCTCAATTCGACCTGTATGTTTTTTTTTCTATGTTTGTTACGCGATAACTCCGCCAATTATGAACCGATTTGAACAAATCTTTTTTCGGCGTATAGGTAATATCTCAAGGGTGGTCCCATTTAAATTTAATAATAAAAAAAACAACCCCCAAGGGTGGAAAATTGGGGATGAACTTTTTTATACGCAATATCTCCGCCGATTATAAACCAATTTGAACGATTATTTTTTTGTTGAATAGGTATTATCAAAAGGGTGGTTTCATGCGAATTTGAAGAAAATATTTCACCCCCAAGGGTGGAAAATTGGGGATGAACTTTTTTATACGCAATATCTCCGCCGATTATGAACCAATTTTTTTTGGTCTCAGTGTACTGCCTACCTTCAGTGGTAACATCAAGGTAATAATTAGTTAACTAAAAAGCAAGAAATAAGTAAAATTTTATAAAAAAAAATAAAACCGACTCCAAAAAACCTACACTAAAACGTAGAAAAATAATTACTAATTACCTACTTATTTATTAGGACGAATTAATTATTAATATTTATGTAGGTATACCATGATTGATACTTCTGGAGATAATTAATTCGTCCTAATAAATAAGTAGGTAATTAGTAATTATTTTTCTACGTTTTAGTGTAGGTTTTTTGGAGTCGGTTTTATTTTTTTTTTATAAAATTTTACTTTTAATTGAACTTACTTATATTCTCCTGGTTCTATAATATCTAAGATTGACAGCTATAATAAAAGACAGACTGGAAAAATATTTTTCAAATCCATAAGGATCTGCGCATATCTAAAAGTTATCCAAAAGTTTTCAAAGATTGCCTACGAGAATAGTTAAATCTGCGTCCTCCTCTCCTCAAATTTTTGCTGAGCCAACAACCCCATATTGTTATATTTTTAATATTATTTAAAAGACCCGTAAAACAGCATGCATAAATACCTAATTTGAATCAGGAACTACTCAGCTTGGCACCCTAACGTGTGATTTGCAGTTACAGTCGTCACCAGGGACAATTTAGCGGCGCAGTACTCTAAACGATTTCTAGAAGCGCGCCCACTGTGCTCTCCCCATCCAACCGTTCGATGCAATTGTGCCCCCTGTAATTTGATACCTACACGTGAAAATTTTTACAAGAGAGCAATAAATAACGAGATTGAAATTCTTATACGTGAACTAACTTTTTTTTTCTCCCTTTGTCATCCATTATTATTTTCTAAATTCATAATAATTTTATACCGCCTACTTTATTCTCAGTTTGGCCCTCTAAGGTTGACTGGAGGAAAATGCCGAAAGGCATTAAGTCCGCCTTATGTACACCGTTCTATGTGCATATAAGTTTGAAATAAATAAACTAAGTCCGCTAGGTTAAATTTGATTTTTCTTTTTTTACAGTAAAATGTTATCTTTCACGCTATATTTTACCTTTTTTGGTAAATTAAATTAATCTATATCTATATCTATATATATAAAAGAAAGTCGTGTTAGTTACTCCACTTATAACTCAAGAACGGCTGAACCGATTTAGCTGAAAATTGTCAGGGAGGTAGTTTAGAGCCAGGAGAAGGACATAGGATACTTTTTATCCCGTTCGAAATTAAAATAAAAAGTCTGCTTATTTATTGCCATTAAGGCGGAACAAAGTTCGCCGGGTCAGCTAGTCTATTATATAAAAGAAAGTCGTGTTAGTTACTCCACTTATAACTCAAGAACGGCTGAACCGATTTAGCTGAAAATTGTCAGGGAGGTAGTTTAGAGCCAGGAGAAGGACATAGGATTTTTTTTTCGATGTACATACCCGTGTGGGGTATCAATGGAAAGGTCTTTTAAAATGATATAAAGTTTTCTAAAAAACATTTTTCTTAAAGTGAACGGTTTTTGAGATATCAGCTCTCAAAGTCGTAAAAAGTATGTCCCCCCCCCTCTATTTTTATAACTACGGGGTATAAAATTCTAAAAAAAATAGAGGTGATGCATGCTAATTAACTCTTTCAACGATTTTTGGTTTGATCAAAGTATCTCTTATAGTTTTTGAGATAGGTTGATTAAATTGACATAATAAGTTTATTATATTTGCTGCTACGGAACCCTTTGTGCGCGAGCCCGACTCGCACTTGTTTTGTTTTATTTGTTCAGCTCCTCAACGCCAAATGTACCTGAAAGTTAGTCCTCTAACGACAACCACGGGAAGTGTGGCGGTGGTAGGGTTGCCAACTTTTCTTTCAAAATATCAGAGGTCGGAGAAGGAAAACAGACAGAATTAAAAAAAAAACAAACAGTATAGCTCTACAACGCGTACTTAAATGTGGTGTTGGGCATTTACTTTTAAAAATATCTATGGATACTAGTGATGCTAGCTGAAAACAGTATTTTGTATACTTTATTTTTGTTCAACAGTAAAACGTATAATTTAGTGAAAAACAGTATAATACTGTTCAAAACAGTATAGTTGGCAACCCTAGGCGGTGGTCCTATCCTAATCTCTACGGTGCCCACCTTCACAAAGCGCTCGCGCTCCGTCTCCCACTCAAGGTGTATTTTGTATAGACGTATAATGTACCTGTATGTGGCGAGGAACACGTTGACGTAGGTGTGGCGTACGAATTATTACCATTTAAAAGCCTAGTTCTAAACTTCATTTCATTAAAGGAAATGTTTTTACCCCGAAAATGTGTCTGTAGAAGAATCCAGAGTCACTTCTTCAAAAAATAGTTAGTTACGCTTACGCAACTTTTATGGCTATAAAACTGTTAAGTTGGGATTAATCGCTATCCATCTGTTAAAGAGGACACGTGAGATCATTATTTGGTATTATAACCATAAAAATTGGTCTAATTGATCCCAGAGGTGAGCCCAAAGTGAGGTCTTTTTTCAAGTTTTTCAAGTCACATTTATTGTATATGTTAATCGTTTAT